CCGGCATCGGAGTATCGGAGTCCCGTAATCCTGCGCCGGAGACAAATTTAAGGCGGGCGGGACGCTCCAGCAAATTTCGTTTCCTTCCCGGTTTCGTGCACTTTGATCCCGTTTTTCTCGAGGAAATCGTGCCTATTGCTTCCCCCTTGGGCCTTTTAACGACGAACGGAAGCGTGTCGCCCGGTTTCCGGTTTCGCGGCGCGTTGGCGGAATTTCTTTTCCTCTGCTAAATTGAAAAGCAGATAACGGTAATCAAGGAGGCAGAAATTTAGTGAAACTGAATTTAATTTCTTCGTACTCGGGTTCAATATTCATAAAAAACACGGTTTTTTGGCATTCGAGTTCATAATCAATATAAAAAATATATTTTGTACGCGCGTGCACCTGCAAATAGATGAATACACACCCGTACAGGTGTATACACACGGAAACGTATACATGTGCGTGTCTATACACTTGCGACCTGCAAACACGCGCATACACGACCATGCCACGCATGCAGATGAATATATATGAATACCAAAAAGGCAAAAATATTAGAATTGAATTAAATAAGACAATTGAAGCGCAGAATGAACAGTTTAATACCAAAAAACGGGAACTGCGAGTTAAATTAAAATTGCTCCTTTCACTCGTACCCCAATTCATTACTATTCCGCGGACGTCGTTCTTGCGCGGCGTCGTATAATGCGTTTTCATATGCAAAAGAACCCCCAAATGGCGTTTCCAACCGAATGCGTGGCCAGCGGATCTGCCACGCGTAATACGTCCGCCGAGAACGAAGTTACGCGTAAAAAATTAGCGCCTTTCGATGTCGAAAATGAAATCGCATAGGGCGAACGATACCCTTTCGAGATTCGTCGCTCGAAACGACCAAATTCGCTTCGAAAAAACCGACCCGGCGGCGTTGTAAACCGGCTACGTCGAAATTGGTAGAAATGTGACGAGCACAAAAACCGAGCAAAAAGGGAATCGGTATCGCGAACGCTCGTTTTACGAGAGAAATGACGGTTTACTCGTGTTTGATGACGCAGCCGTGTTAGGTGTCTCGTTGCGTTTCCGTTTACAACGCGCTGTCGAGACCTCGTTTAATTCAAGGGTCACCGAAACTTGCAAAATGTTTCTATAGCTTTTGAAAATCTGTTTTTATTTTAAAACGTAGTATCGTCTTAGGAGGAAATTTATTTGACCACGCTGATCGACCTCCAACGATATTTTACGATATTTTACGAGCCCATGGGGTCCATCGTAGCCACGAGCCTGTTGAAAGCGGCTTTCTCGACGGCTGCAGCTTCTCCACCCCCACACGCGTCCAGCGGGGCTTCGGTATTTAAGAGGGCGCATATATCTTCCCGAGAACAGACCCTCTAACCCGTGGCCAGACGGTTTCAATTTATTTTCAACGCTGGCGCATCTTTCGTTCATGCGAAATGAAATACAGTTATCTTAACGTTACTCTTCGATTTACCGCGCACTGTCGAATACTTCAAATAGTTGAAAAAGAAAAGTGATAGAAAAATATCCGTGTCGAGGTTGATTAATATTACGGCCAATGAAAATACGCCCCTGAGATCTCGAGGAGAAAAGGTAAGAGAAGAGTGCAAGTTCCTCAGCGTCTTCATCGCATTGTTTTAACACCGTGTACGCCAACGGGGAACTTCGCCGCAGGCGGACAATAATGTTTACTCCTCGGCCGCAAAACATCTCTCAGTTAATTTTTATCCTTATCTGCGGAACGGGCAAAAACGAGGCATCGTTCCCGTCGCGAACGAGGGCAACAGAAGGAGACGGAGGTTTTCAGCGGAGTCGGGAAGAAATAAAAGGAGGAAAATCTCTAGTAATCCCCGAGAGGTGAATCGACGCGGTGCTCCACAATTTTTTCCCCTTAATTAACGGCTCATCGCGAGAGCGAGAGATTACGTTTAATTAGCTTCTCGGAGGGGTCGCAAAAAAAAAAAAGAAGGAGAGAAGGAAACGGATGAGTTTGTCAAACGCGCGCCAACGGAGTTTGAATCTGCCATACAATTCTTACGGCGAGAGATCCCATTCTGTGAACGAGACTGTCAATTGTAAGCTGCCATACAGGGTGATTCTGGAAACTGGGACCAGCCTGAAAAGGGGGAGAGTTGAATATTCCGATGAGAATTATCTTTTGACGATACGATTCGTTTCCTTTCAGTGCGACGATGTAGTATTTAATTTGAACGAATGCATGCATGTTTCTTTGGATGAATCGATTCTTGTTACTCTGTGCACGAACCTATTAAGGTATGATTGTTGAGTGCATAATGCAACTATTGAAATGCAATGTTAATACTTGGAAATGTGCTACAATTTGTCGTAGTTTCTGAAGCCACCCTGTATAGGAAATTTTCAAGCTTCCGGTGGTGCGTAGACAGGTTAAGGTATTCGAGTGTTGAGTTACTGGTATAATCTGCTCCTGATCCCTGATATATTGGCGTATTAGACCATTGATATACGGGGCTATTGATAGTCTTGGTGACCTGAGGCTTTCGGCCTTGGGATTCTGTGGGTTCCGGATCTCGGAAACTCAATCTTTGGAAATTTCCAAGCCTCGAGTTCAAAATTTTGAATTACAACACCCTTATAAATAGTTTTTCAGAGGACCATGTAAATCGAATATCGAATATTGTTTTTCGACCGAGCGAGTACAGGCCAAACGTCATATCGCAGCTCCTTTGACGCAAAAGATAAACATTGTTGTGTAAAAATTCATGGAATTTTTCTGTTTTCATTCAAAATTGAACGAAGAAGCTGTCCTTGGGTGTACGTTAACGCTTCGATAAATTCGAAGAATATCCGAGCTTTCAAATGGACATATCGAATCTCGGGGGAATAAAAAGTCTCTAATATCAAGTCGAACGCAAAGGAATTGCTCTGTTTGCTGCATCACCATTTTGCTATGAAGATTTTATTACCAGCATACGAGTACGTCTGTTCTATCTGATAGCAAACGATACGGAAAGAATTCTTTTGGAATGAATTCCACTGTTTCGTGCGTTCGAGTCATTTCAGCGAAAGCGACGCATGCATTTGATGCATCTGCTACGTCACTGCATGCACTGTTTGCATGGACGAAAGTTCATAACAAAGGGTTTCGCCTGAATGCATGTTTTCCCTATAGCCAGACGCGTTCGTTGTGCAGGAAAATTTAGAAAATTGTCGTCTCGTGGAACGCATTCAGACTCGACTTTTAAATTACAAATAATATACCCGTACGAGCGTTTTTCTAAATATTAATAATCGTTGACTAATCTGGAATTATTAGCGTGTTTTGAAATAACATTCCAAGCTATAATCTAATTTATGCTTTGGCTCGTGCTGGAGTCATCTTCGGTGCCTATTAATGTTATTATTAAATATATTACATCATAATTACCCAGTCAAATAATTGTTCTCTTTCGTTACGAATGAAGTAGTACCTCGTACGAGGCTGAAAAAAATACAATTCTTTTATTCGTTTATGAGATTTGTGTCGGTGAGTATTTTCATTACAGAAACATAATATTAATAAACCCATAAAGAAGACTCGAGCACGAGTTTTCGAAGCGCAGTCATTTTTTAGGAAATTTATTCAGAGAACTGGGAGCGGTATTCGAAAAAAATGCTGAGGCGCCTCGTCGTTGGTACGTGCCATTTTTTATGGCAGTGCGAGATTGCTTTTGTAACGTAATGAAACTTCTTAAATATTTAACAGCGGTGGAGAGCATTTTTCTCTCGCCCACGGAATATATATTAGGCAGTTATTAACCGAATAGCTAAACAAAGGTAAACTGAATTTCAGGAAGGTCTCGTTCAGCTAAAAATTTTTAGAGACCGTCTGTGGGTGGTCTTCGAAAGCAGAATTCTGTTAAATTTAAAGTATTGCTCGGCAACGGGCGCCAACGAGAGTAAATTAAACGTAAAACCAGCCTAGATTTAACTCGGAATTAAGCTCGAGTAAATGAAACGCGGGCAAAGTAATCGTAAAAGCAAGATTGAACACGGCTGAAATTGCAGCGGTCTAATTTTCTTCCCGCGAACCATTCGGCCTATAAACCTCTCTCCCTTATCTCTTTGACAATGTGTCTGGGATAAAACGCGAGGAATGATTATTTACTGCCACAGAAATTCCACCAGATCTCCCCACTTTTATAACCCCGAACGTCTACGCGCCTCCCACGTTATTATTGGCCACGAATCTCCTATAAGCCGCGATACTGTGTTATCTGACAGCTATAACCGGGTGATCGTAACCAGCAATAAAGCGAGAAATGTATTCCCAACGATCGTAAGTCGAAAGCTGATCCTGGGAAATCGGCGCCTCGGCCTCGATTAATCGCGAGAGGAAGCCGCCTTTTATGGGAATGCTTTATTCCCATTCCTTCATCCAACCCTAAATTCGACGTCTTAAATCCATCCTTAATCATTCGTTCTCGAAGTCGATTATTCTTGAATTCTGTGTAGCTGTTGATAATAATCATTGTATTGTTGCTAAATATAGATGATAGATAGAGAATTGAGTCGGATACTTGAGTTTCTTGACCTGCCAGCGATACCCTATAGTTTGAGTACCATGTCGAATTGGTCGCAGTGGTTCTCAACCAATTTATACTTAATAAAATTAAATACATCGACATGGTACTCAAACGAAAGCTATTCTCACAGGGATACCTATGTTTACCAATTCCAACACAAAATCGAACATGAGAAACCTTAGGAACCTGTTTGAAATTCCAGATCCATTCTGACGAATTACAGCAGCGGATCGCCGGTCAGAAAATATTCGAGGAGAAACGACTCTTCAAGGATCATTTCACATCAAAGGAACCATTCGAACAGACGTATTAACAGTCTGACCGATAGCGGAAGTGCTTCATCCGGAGGGTACCGTCTGGTAGAGGCAAATTGGTCCTCGACCGAGCTCGAACTCGATTCCGAACTGCCATCGAACTCGAGGATCTTAGAAACAATTAATCTCCATTCGCGGGGTCACTCACCTTCGGACTGATGGGGCGCGTAGATGTTCAGGTAGAGGCAGTCCTCGCTTTGGTTCTTGAGGTAAGGCAACAGCTTCTCCAAGTACTCGTAGCGGACCGGCTTCACCTCGTCCCGCAGCTTCGGCGCCACTTGCGGGCACACGGGGGCGAATTCCAGCGATTGCCGTACGCCACGCCAAGGTTCCGGTGATCTTGGCGGGGAGAATCTTAAGGATCGAACGGGAGGCTCCGCGTAGGGTACTCCTGGAACATTCGAGTAGCAGGGTACTGTGATTGTGCATTGCTAATTTCTCGCTTCAATTGGGGGCGACCGTCTCCTGTCGTGGATTTGGAGGACCTCGAAGAAACCTTAGAAGTGGTTGGGGTAGGATAATAGGGGTATATAATTCAAGGGATAAAATATAGTTTGAGTGGGCGTGTTGCAGAGTATTAAGGTAGATTGCAACTGACACCGGAAGTATTAAGAATCTTTCGAGCTTATTTTGTTTTTGATGGACCTGTGTATTTTCTCATCTGTCTTTCAATAGGAACTTGCACTGGCATTGTTAAAATATACACAGCAAAAGTAAAGAAAAGGTACAAAGGAAAGTAATCCGCCTCGAGAGACAAATGTATCACTCCGAGAGTTCGCATCTTTACTTTCTTAGTTTTTACGATATTGATCGAGACTTTCACGTTCTGATTATTTCAGTGCCAATTATTTCAGTACTAATTACCAATTTTTTCTTCAGAAATGTAGAAGTTTTCAACTCTACTCTCATCCCAACCCCCTGATTCCTATAATTCTCGTCGTTAATAAAGACTCCTATTGATCCTTGAAGTATCTTCCTGTTGATACTGATTACGTAGACGAATGATTCGAATAAAATTACCTAACGGCGTCTCTGGAACAACCCGGGCAGTACCATCCCACGGGAATATGCATTCTCGCGACGCATTCACATTCAATAATCAATACATCAACGGTGGAAATGAAAATCCTTATTGTTAGCGCTGGGAGAGCCTGGTCTCGAGATGATCTCGCGCGAATGCCTCGCAGAGGCAATCACCGTAAAGTTTTATTGGACCGCGACCAGATCGATTAAATTGATCGCGTTCGTCCGGCATCCCCGTTAACACGTTTCACGTTGGCAGCAAAGATCACGGCGATCCGTTTTATCCGATCCCCTGGGTAAATTGGATTCCCAGGCCACTGGTTCCTACGTAAAATATTAAATCGCGGATAGTACGTCTGGGCGGGTACAAATCGAGAGGCTTGATTGTGAACGGTTCGGATTAAAAACGTATGGGACTGTTCGCGTCGAAATTGGAACGACCTTGACAAACTTTGATTGCTTGTCGAGGGCTGACTCAAACGCCCCTGTATTTCTATAGTCGAGGACGTTGTCGATCTCGGAAGGGTAGCTGGAAATCACCAAAGAGTCACCATCAAGGAGTGAGCAGACGATGAGAGTCCTAGAACTCGAGGAATAAGTTATATTGGGTCGTCTGGAAAGTCCATGTCGATTTTTAGTAGGTGGCTCAAGTGTGAAAAAGGTGGTAAAATTGTGGAATAAAATCATATATATCAAAATTTAAATGTGCTTTTGAATTTTTCTTAAAATTTGCTACAAACTTTCTGGACAACCCAATATTATAAATAAGTGTATAAAGAGTTCCTTCACGAGGAATGGGTTGTACTATAAAAATATTCGAATATTTTGCAGGTGTTTGGAGTATTTCACGAGAATATACCTGTCGCAAAGTACTTTCCGATCCGTTATTCGAATACCATTTTCCTCATCAGAGGGAAATTAATTCCCGACGTAAATGTATCTTCCAAGTCTCATCGCCAGTGCCAAGGAATGTCACGGAGAACTCGAGGAAAGTGTGCGGCCGCTGCGACAAATTCAGCGTGCACGCGCGACAGCGGAGTAACAGGGCAGGGGAGCGTGCGCTCCCGAAATAGCCAGCACGGTCCTCGTTTCTCGATGCCTTTGACGTATCGGGATTCTCGAAGCGCGGATACGAGAGGCTGTTGCAGCTGCGAGGAAAGTTTCGCTGACCAAAGTTCAGCGTATCGACGGAAACTGGAAATCGTGGCGTGTTATCGTCCGTCCCCTCCTCGGCAGGGATTGTGGGCTTCGATTGAGAAAGGGCGGAGGGAGGCCGTGATTGGGCCTCAAGTTCGAAACTCGCCGCCGATGGAACGTTAACCGATGATTGTGAACGGATTTCAATGCCTGCGATTGACTCCTGGGGGATCTAAGAACGTATTTTGGAACATCGAAATTCGCTACTCGTTGGGAATCGTTCCTGAGTTTTCCATTAGAGATATTCGAGAAATCGTTGATTGAACTATCTTGTTCGATGTCCCAACGCAACTCATTCAAACGTAGGATATGTTTATTCATATTTTGTACTCATTGAGAGACCGAAGATACAAATTCTTGGCCCACGAGCGCGATATAACGAAGCGTACACGCAGCAGTGCCAGATTGCCTCTGATTTCGCCAACTACTGATTCAGTACGGATTGCACATGAATTATAATCATTTCAAAGTTTCCGTAGAACAAGGAACCTTTCCTATTTTCAGAAATTATTAAAAATTTATTAATTTCGCATCCAAAAATAATTCCAAACTCACCCAGAAAGACGTCCACGGCCTGGAGGTTGTGATTGGTCCGCGGCTGCACCACCGTGCCACGCAGACGACCGTACTTCATCCGCACGTCCTTGGTGACGCGTTCCTGAGACTCGTGGTACCTCGATTGGTAGCCATATTGGTTCCTGGATTGGTGGAGGTCGCGGTGCTCGGTGAGTATCTGGGTGCAGGCCAGCAGCACGAACCCGACCAGCTCCAATCGCAGCATCCTCGACATTTGTTTGGCCGTTCGACGGGCGGAAAGCGTGGCAATGAATTTCTCTCGCGGAACACCTTCGGGCTCGAGGCTGGACGGAGTCACGCGCGTTCGAAAAACCCCGTCGTGGTAAAAATAATTTTTCAACGGTTTGCTGCGTCTTCCGTTCTTGCACCGGATGCAAGAGGAAGGTCCCTCCCCCGCCCTATATTCGCTCGGAGGGCCAGAGGTTTCACGGACGACGCTATTTCGACGGTCGGCTCGCTCGTAGGGGCGCACGATCTTCCTCGAGGCGTGCCAAGATCGTTCCAAGTCAGTTTTGGCACCACGTGCGCGCGTGGCTCACATTTTCGACGACTGCTTCCTGGTCGACGTTGAACTGGCAGGGATCGATGCCCAGGCGCTCGCGATTACGCATTGTCACGGTCCTTTCTCGATTCTTCGGGATGTTGACCCAGGGTATGATTTTCTCGAGGTAAACTCGAAGAGATTATCTTCTATTCTTCTGTTTTCAGTCAGTTTGTCTGTCAGTTGCCACGACACACGAATCCAAATAATTAAAATCCAAATTTTCCTCTGTCCAACTGCTTTCGTCAGTCTGCGTCGGAGACACTTAACACTGGCTGCAACTGGAACTATCCACCACTAACGCGATTGTCCTTGATTAGTTCTCACTGATCCCTCATAGTTCCCTGATTAATCCCTCGTCACCAGTTCATCGACCACCCACGGAATTGATTGCACCAAATATGCCCATCGCTATATCAACGAACCTAACGGACGAAGAGCATCGAAATGTATTCTCCGACATCGAGTCCTCATAAATCTTCCAGGCTTCAAACATTCACACGATTCTCTTCAATATCCAACCAACTATAAAATCGCAATCTTGCACTAGTCACTTAGATTTCCATTTTTTATTCACCATTCTATCACTTTCGTAGGCCTATAATCAGCCCTAGAGAAAGCCAACCAAGATCTTGACCCTCCACGATAGTTCTACGCGCGTTCTAACCGCCAAATGAAACGGAGAGTTCACTGTCGACCTCTCCAGTTTCACGTTCGCAGGTTTCAATCGCACAAGCTATAAATATAGTTGACAGGCCTCGAAACCGCGGAGGTTTCGGTTTCGCGCAACGTTGACCGGGCCTGATGGTGATTAAAAGACGAAGGGGACCCTCTGCCGCTGTCCTCCAACGATATTCTTGGTTCGAACAAGGGTGAACGCACGTACGCGGAGAGAGGGGAGAAAGAACGGTGCGTGCACTCTATTTCCGACCCAAATAGAACGTTGGCTCCTGTTGGTAAACTTTAGACGCGCGTTCGCGGCCAGAGCGTGTTCAGTTCCTCCTCCAACGTGGAAGATTTTCTACATTGCGATTTATGGCACTTTTATGGCCTTTGAACGTTTCACCCACCGACTTCGGCCTGGAATGGGGCAGGAATAGGTTGTAACACTCTCTAGATCCTATTTTATCATCGTCAGAAATGAACGATCATTGATAACTTTTCTCTCTACGAATCAGATCAAATGGAACAATTTAATTGGAAACAAACGAAGTCTGCCAATTTTGCAAAAGACTCGAGAGAAAGGGCATCCGCAATAAGCCACCGTAATTGGAATTCTTTGTTACGAACATTTCTTCATTTTGCACAGAAGCTACAGAAATGTTTCGTATCGAGTATTTTTCCAGCTACTGGCGGCCACTTTTTTTTATTTGCACAGAGCATTAGCAAAAAGAAGCCATTGGAGAACTTTTCAAATTTTTACGACTACGGTATCGGCAATATTAAAAACAATTCCGCTCGTGAATGTTAAATAATTTATTGGTAAACATATTGGCAATGGTACATATTCGAGAACAAAATTATTTATTGATTCGATGTGTGTGCTCTTGGAATACTTTAGTTGGGCACACATATGACGTAATTGATAATAAACATTTAAATGGAGAATTCATTCCTTGGCAAATGAACGTTAAATTAGAGAGGACTCGCAAATTGATTACTGAATTATTATGTTTAGGACTGGAAACAGTAATATCAACTCATCCTGTATGAGTGTATTTGATCATTAAAATGCATTTTCTATTCAATGTTTATTCAAATATTGCTCAACTCGTTTGAAGCATAAGGAGACAAAACAACCCAAAAATAAATTGTGTTTTCAGGCGATTTATACGTGACAATGACCAACGAGTCATTATTCGCTGCACCCCGGAATGGGGTGTAATTATTTCGACAAATTAATTTAGAGAAAAGAATCGAGCTCGCGGCTTCGAAAACGAAACATCGGGCTCGCGCGAACCGAACCGGGAAAGTTTCAATTTACCCCATTCACGCCTCTCACAAAGCAGCCATCAAAAGAGCTTCCGTTTCACCGTGAAAATCATTCAACGAAATTTACGAAAAACCCTAGCAACGCGCGTGAAGCGGCAAACCGGATTACGCGACGCGAAATAAAACCGGGACCGTTTTAACGCGCGCTTAAAAGCGGTCAATAGCGTTAAATTATGAATACCCGTAATTTGCATCGTGACTAATTGTCGCGCGGCGTATAACCCGCCATTTTCCCAGCCTTGTACGTGTCCCGTGAAAAAGCGGAAAAAAGAAATGGAACCGCAGCAAGACGAGGTTTCCCGGCTACGTGACATGTTTGTCGATACTCTTGAAGGGTCACGCTGGACTGGCTATGGAAAACCAGGCCGTTTTTTGAATTTCATAAAATGGAAAACTGTGAAAGATGTTCGCTCGAAACATTGCAGGCTTGTTGCCGCGTGTGTTATTGGGTTACGTAATTTTTTGTCAGTGATAGACATCCATTTTTAAGAATTTAATCTATAATGAAATTAAGCAAATTTGATTCTTCCGAGATGCTAGGAATACCGAACTAATGTTATCTGTAATTCGAATACTCCGATGCTGAATTCGGTGGCGGAAACACCAGGAATTCTCGTGAAAGTTTCCGTCTCCGTGTGACAGAAGAGAAGCCACCGTCATTAACCGTGGTCCGCGGTTTACCGCAAAATTCCAGCGATCTTCCGTGATGGGCCACGCGATTTCCCACTTTGAAGCAACTACATGTTCCTATTGAAAACTTCGCCCTATACGGAGGACCTCTGGTTTAGGTCTTCTTCAGCGTCAAAAATATGGTCAAGTTCGATACAGAAAAATTAGAATCGAGCAGCCCGAAGTGAAGTCAAATTCTACTGCACACCTACGTCATCCAATTATAATTATAAAATAAATGCTACATGTTCTACATAAAGATACTAGTTGGTATTGCACAATCATTCCACGACCAAACATCCATTTCGATTCGGCTTTGGGACACGAGCTTCCAGATCGCCATGAAAATAAGATATTTTAAGCACTCACGCTCGTATCGCCTCGAGTCTCAGAGACGCACGAACCAATCACAAGGGATTTGAAACTTCAAACAACTAGAAACACGTTTACACCAGCCAGTCTTTCCCCAACGATCGCAAACATTGTCTGACAACGAAGTTACTTTCTTTCGACCTACTTTCAGGTTCCTTCAGAACCCAAACGCATAAACGCTCGATCGTCGAGTCACGAATATATCGCGTTGGCGGACTCAGTTTCGCCTCGATGGATCTCGCGAGTGAACTGAGTCCGTAAGTGCTAAAATTAAATCAAGAACCAGTCGTGGAGGAAGCGCCGCCCGCGGCAATGTTCCAAGACGAAACTTTTATTTTCGGAGAAACATATCGTGATCGTTCGCCAAGTTTTGGTGCACGTGTTACGAGATCCACGTTTCTTTGAGAAAAGTGTCTCGCGGAGGCACTCGCGCTGATGAAGAAGTTCTCGAGCTTTGGAAGATTCAGGTACTGGATTTGCCAGTTCAAAAGCGAGAGAGTCTAACCTTGGAACTCTGAGCGAGGAAGCACTGACCTCTAGAGTTGTTAGAATGTTAGATGGAAGAGGTCCGAGGTTCAAGTTCTGACAGCTCTTGTCATTAACGAGAGTTGGCTGGTTTAAACAATAATCTCTGTTGGGCTACGCTCGAGGAAACATCTCTGTAGACACGATCGCCATCTTGAATAACAGACTCGAATTTTGGAGAAAGAGAAATATTTTAGAATTCCATAAATGATGTACACTTACGTATTATAAGTGTAAGCTATTCGATCTTATACCTTCACTACGATTAATTTTTTTAAATGGATATACGATGCACCCATTCTGGTGTAACACCTTAAAGGGTGTACCTAGATCGAAGCTCTAAAAATCGAATGTCAATTGATATTTATTATAAGAAAATTATTCAAGTATTTATTATTTTGGTCTACTCGACTCGAGAATTCAGCAGGCCATGTCTTGAAATATTTATGCCTTTTACCTTACCTCAATAGAAGGCCTATATCATGCGATGTTCGAGGCTCCATCTTGGGACCCTTATTATTCAGTATCTACGCACATGAATTACTTACTGAAATTACTCTTCCTGCTACATGAGCGTTGATGTTATGCAAATCATTGACATTTCCAAGCCATCTGATGCTTCTTCTGTTTAACATGAAGATGAACACGATCCACCTAATGTTGCCACCTTGTACATATACATATTCATCGGTTTCCTTCTGCTTGTTTATTTCAACATAAATTTTAAAGAAGATTATATCTTCTGTAAACTTTTTTACGTGCAAAACTCAACATTCCCTACCTTTCTAGATATATTATGCATTTTTCAAACCAAAGTACAAACTTTTAGGGGTCCAGGAAAGAAGCGGAGACTCCTAGAACTTACGCGCAAAATATTTTGACAACTGGAAGCCGAGACGGTTCGACTTTGACAGATTGCGACCAAGTTTACCGTAGGAAGAAAGTTTCGTTGCGTTTTCGCGCGTTCTTAAGGAGGTATCCTCTCCCTTCCCTCTCTCCGGCGATCGAGCGCAATTTAATTTCGCTTAATCTGAACAGACCTGAGCGCGCTTTCCCCTTTCGGGTCCTGACTCCTGGACAAAGTTAAACATTTTATCTCTAATGGAATTAGTATAATCCTGGAGGGAGGGATGGGAGTGTTTGGATGAAATGAAACACCGGTTACCAGCAACTCTGTGTATCGAGATTAAGGTAATTGGAGTGCGCGGGGAAATTGTGCCCAGCGAGAATGTAGCGAAACAGGAGTTGTATTAATCAAGTTGCTGAACGCTTCCTTCGTTTGGTGAAAAAATTTTCAATTAATTCCCTCGTCCACTCGCTCTTGGAACAGGATTGGGATCAAACGTTGCTCGTCGAACAGTGTTTCTCAAACCTCGCCCAACGATCGTCTTGGAAAAGGATAATTGTTCATTAGACAAAAATAAATGCGAACATTTAATTAAACGTTGGATACTAATTGTCAAGATTGGAATGAAAACGAAGGTTATCGAAAAGAAATATTTAATATTATTATAAATAATAATTAAAAATATTTCTATAAAAATAGAATATATAAATACTAATAAACTTCAATGAGTTCATATTTCCTTAAAAAAATGATTGCACTATCAAACACGGAGAAAATTCCGTGAAGTCTACGTAACATCATGAATAGTGTGTGCTCGCAGAAAGTTCATAAAGAGTTCTCAAGTTTTTAGTGGGCCAACGTAGAGAACGCCTCTTAATAATAACAGAATATTACTCTCAGGGGGTTCGCGGAGCCCAATTTGAGAAACGCTGCGTTAAGGCGAAGGCGAGAGCCGCTCTCGTTCGCTTCAACATCTGCTGCTCGATAAAAATCACGAAGCGTCCCCGCGCGGGCACAGGAGAGGAGATTAAAAAAGTTCTGTCGCGAATTAGTTTGCACGCCCACACAGGCCCGGAGCACTGTTCGTTGCCCCGGAACGACGTGTTAAAGCAACGATAAGAAGGCTTTGAGAGGTCCTCGAGGCACGAGGCGTTGCCCGATGAGTGGCTCCTCTTCAGGAACATCTCATTTACGATAATGAACTTACTCGGCGCAGGGGTGGCGTGAGTGCAACGACGGTGCATAGTAACCTACGCGAAAACAAAAGTCTGGATTAATCGAGACATCTCCAAACTTGAGATTCTGGGTTTCTTTCCTCGTTCTCCCTGGATCGACACGTTTCCTACGATTTCCATCGCAGCCCGTGTCAATATTTAACTGCGATGTTTATTATACCGGAAACAACAAGCAACGGATCTGCATACCAGAAACACTTCAGGCACCGAGCTCCGCATCGAATATTTACAAGAGAAACTCTCGTTCGCGAGCTGGGGATGGGTGGTTGGGTTGAAACCCAACAATTAATTCGAACACAGCGCCTCGTCTTAGCAATTTTCACGACGAAGCTTTCCGATATTTTCCAACCCGACTACCTCGACCGAAGTATTGTACGTGCAGGGTAGGGGGAGGATGCATTGTTCCCAGGGTTATCGATAACAAAACAGGCCACAGCGAGATGAAGATAAATAACTTGCCGCGTGTAAATAGTCCGCTCGTGATACATGCCAATCCACGGGGAATTTATCCGTCTTCGGAGCCGGATGGCTTGCTCCTGCTGGAATTCATCCTCCTTCTGGATCTGGCAAATATTTTCCTTGCGAATAGGAGACCAGTTGATCGGGAAACGTAATTATCTCGCCGGTCACTCGGTCCCTGTTTAGCAGATGGCTGACAAATTCTTTTTCACTCCTTGTGTTAACTTAGTAATAATAATACCAAGATAATATTCTCTTGCTGCGAATTTATCATCGTTTAATCCTTCACAGGATTAATCTAACAAGATTTAATTATTTGTAAGTCTGTGGATGAGTCGTTTGCTCAGTGAACTCTCAAAGCGTCCTCAAAATTAATTGACTTTGATCAATTAAAAAAATTCTAATACCTATCGACATCTTCAGAAAACCCACGCACTTCGTCGCAGAGAAAAGTAGGATTAGAGAAATTTGCCACGAGAAAGAGTTCACGAGGGATTTTTCGTGGATTAGCCCACGCTTCCCTCGCGCGATGTTGAGAGTACGTTTTTTCGCGTAGCTATCGCTTCAACATGCCGGATATACATGCACGTTCTTCGAGGTACGGGAAGGTTGGTTGTTCTTCTTCCGCGGATAATCCCGAGGGCGTTTTGCAGGTGTTACATTATTTCCTGTCACCTGGCGACGCTGGCTTTTCTCGAACACAGCCACTGTTCTTACCTTACTCTTGTTTATTTTACATCCGACACGGTTTCGCTGCTAGAATTTTTGAAAACTCCTTCCCAGACAAGCTGCATCTTTTTTAGAAGGCAATTTTCTGCAATTTTATTGGTTTGGAGCTTCGATGAAAGTACGTATGAATCTTTAATAATAGTTTCTAGAAGATTTCTAGAAGAAAAATCTAAAATAGAGAAGGCAAAGAATAATAATAAACGATTTGTTTCGACTTCTGATGCAATCTTTGTTACTAAAAGTAAATAATTTCCTACGTCACAGCTCTCGAAGCGTCCACTAGATGGAGCTTAACGAAAGGATCGAGCAGAACAGATTGATCACGGATCTCGCGACAATTAATTTCGGTAGCGGCTGCGAAAGCTCGCACGCGATAATTGAATGGCTGGAGATCCGTGATAGCATCGTTCAAGGATCCGTCGATTAGACGAACGCACACCCTGTACACGTGCACGCTTCAAGACTTATCGACACTTGAATTGCGCATCGGGTGGTCCCTGTTGAACTTCAATCAGCCTCAAAATTCAACTATTCCGATCCTATCGTTCCGTTGGTTCACCGTCGATTGGCTAAATCAAACACGATTACCCGTCGACGCGCTTCTGTTGCGACTCGTACAAACCCTGAAATCCCATCAAGCGAATGTTTTTCTAACCGTTCAGCTCAATTTCCTTGATACTCGATTTTTCCTCGGTGGAAAAAAGTAACCTTGTGATTCCAAGCAGTTGGATCAAGTTTCTAAAGGAATGAACATTTTAATCACTTTCAATACAAGCAAAAAGCTTGCTAGCAAGATTCCATTTACTATCTTTCAAATAATTCCACAATTAGATTGTAAATAAAATTAGACATATATGAACTTTTATAGGTCTTTAAAAAGCACCTCCAAGCGACTAGGTTAATGGATATTATTTAGCGAGTAATGACTAAATGTATCAACCATAATGTAGTCATTAATTACGCAGCAGATAACACCGGCAAATTACCCACGATCTTTCTCGTATAATTTATCATATGTATAGGTCGATTGTCGGTTATCTTCCGCGCCATGCGTGACTGTGGCGTATGATAGAGATGAATTAGCTCGCGAAAGGTGTTCAAATTTTCACGACGTACCGGCCACATAGGTCCGCGACAAGGGAATCCGTGTAATCCACTTTCTCGGCAGATATTAATCCCTGGAGGACCCTTGTAACTTTCGGTATTATGAGTAGATTACATTCTTTATCTCGAAGACGAAATCTGGGATTTAAATGAAATTTAAATGAAATTTCCCCCGCGTCCGGGGTACACACGCGAGTTCCTCTGATAAAATTCCGTGTCATCTGCGTCGCTTTAAAATCGCTTAAGGAACTTCAAGTGGCGCACGCTATGCTCGGGAATTTATTACATGCAAAATCTTTCCGAGGGAAATTATAAACGTTCTGACGAAATGTACATGGAAGTATTA